AAGAGGTTCAGAATTAAGAAGAAATGTCATTTTTTATCTTATCTTAAAACTGTTCTTTCTTTAGACATATAAATATATTTAGAAGCATATTGTAAATTGGTGGACTGACAGTAGTAAAGGGACTGTTGGAACGTTTTAATTTCAAATTTTGATTATGTTTGATTATTAGTTTAGGTTCATAGCAGTATGATTTCTTTGTAATAAACATAGCCTATTATCGTAGAATTTTTTGAATGTAACACAAGTTGGGTCAGACTTGCAACAAGGCTCAATATGGGAATCACCTGAGCAAGTCTAGGCCCAGGCGAATGGGCCTGGGCATTAAGCCCAGCAGTTTAACCCTTAACTATAAAGTTTCTCTTGTGAATTCCAGTATAAATACATGTCTTTTATGTTTTGCAAATCATAGTAGTATAATTAATTGTCAAACTTGAATTGTATTTTGATTTTCTAGATTCTGATTTTCATACTTAAAAGTAAATTGAGTTACAACTCTTGCAAACATGTATTATGGCTTAAAATGTAAAGGTAGATAGGCCCAGGCAGTAAACCTTCACGATTGGGCCCGCCTAATATAAGCCCAATGTGGGAAGACTTGGTCAAAACTCGAACTGGGCAAGGGCCCTTGAGTCTCTTTCGTTTTGGGCTGAATTCTGAGCCCAACACAACTTCAATATTGGTTTGGCCTTGACCAAATAACTTAATGAGCTACTACTGGCCCAATTCCCCTTATCCAAAAAATGATTAAGGCCCAATACCTATATCGCAAAGCATGTATATAATTAATAGCTTTTTATTGAATTTCAAATTAGATTTAAACAGGAGCATCTTTGCTTTAGTGAAATACAAATCTTTTAAAATAAATCGAGGCGTGCCATTCATAATTGAATCACCTAATCTATGGCCCTCATATTAATATTATAACTTAGTATAGAAAACGTTTTGAACATTCGTAGTTTTGTTTAGGTGCGTTTATAATAAAATCATCATAGCTATTGGTACGGTTCCTGTGACGTAGTTGTGATACCTAATCTCCAAATCTGGGGGTACATTTATGTGACCCGGCCACAACTTCTAATAACTTTAATAAATTAAACATGTTGTAGATCGTGGGTACGGTTCATGTGACATGATTCGCAATGTATCAAACAAAAAGGTGTACGACAATCGTAACTTGTTCCAGAATAATTCCATAAAATAACTAAAAGCGGTTGAATAAAAATTTAAAAGCAGTTAGAATGTTAAAAATGCACACTAGGTTTGAAACATGTAGTAAATCAGATAATTAGGCCAATATTAATAATTAAGCGATCGTACTCGAACCACGGAACCCGCTAATGCCTAACACCTTCTCCAGGGTTAACAGAATTTTTTACCTCATTTTCTAGTTTCATAGACTTTTAAATAAAATTGATTTTCCTCGATTTGGGATTTAAAATAAACTGGTGACTTGGGACACCATAAATATCCCAAGTAGCGACTCTAAAAATAAATAAAATAATCTCATTTCGAATAATGTCACTTTAATTGGAAAAGCTCCTTTATATACCCCTCGGGTGGTAAAAAGGAGGTGTGACATTGAGAATTAAGTTAGTCATAAGAGAGGGCATTTTAGTCAATACACAGACACACACACGTGAGAGGCATGTGATAGTCAGTTAGTTTGCTAAATACTATTTCGTCTTGTAACAGTGCTTAATGAAATGAAATCAAGTTCTTCTTCTTCTCTGAATTCTCTAGAATCTAGGGTTCAAACTTTACATGTAATTCAAATTCTATCATGGTATCAGAGCAGGTTGTTGTAATCGAGATAAAATTCTGCAGGATGTGAACATCGAACACTGATTAAAAGCTTCGATTTCATCATCCATGGGGGAAATGGCGGAAACAACAAGTCTTCCAATTGATCACAATCATCCTCTGTTTTTAGAATCTACAGATACGCCTGGAGTTGCATTTCACGATATCAAGCTCACCGGACCTGAAAATTATGGTTTGTGGAGTAGATCGATGCGGATGACACTTTTGGTGAAAAATAAGCTAGGTTTCATAGAAGGAACTTGCAAAGAAGAATTGGCGAATAAATGGAGAATTGGCGAATAAATGGGAAAGATGTAACGGGATTATTCTTTCATGGATAGGACGTACAGTATCTACAGAATTACAGCCAAGTATCATTTATTCTTCGAATGCAAAAACAGTATGGAACTAGTTCAAGGAGAGGTTTGATAAATCTAATCTCACTCGTTTTTACCTTTTATGGATACAAATTGGATCATTAAAGCAGGGTACTGATTCTGTAACATCATATTATACGAAAATGAAAGATCTCTAGATAAAATTAACCTACTAGTTCCAGCGCCTGGTTGTGATTGTGAAGAAACTAGGATTTTCATTGAGCAATTTAAGAATTTGCATTTGTTACAGTTCCTAGTTGTTCTTAATGAAAGCTATAGTTAGGTGAGAAGTCAGATATTACTTAAGATGCCAGTATTGAATGTAAATTAGGCTTATGCTTTGGTCATTCAAGAAGAAAGCCAATTTGAACTAAGTGTGCTTGAGGTAAATAAGGAACCTTTAACTATGATGGCAGGACAAAATCAAGGATATAAGGCTATGAAGATTGGGATTGTTTGTGAACACTATGGATATAAAGTACACCTCAAGAAAAATTGCTACAAAATTATAGGATATCCGCCCGACTTCAAGAGCAAGAAGAAACAACAATCACAAGGAAACAAAACTTATGTTAACATGATAACAAAAGAAACTACAAGCTCATATCAAGGCCAACAGATGGGACAACTGTTCACTGAAAGTCAATACAAACAGATACTAGAGCTTCTGAACAAAACACCTGCAGGTGATTGTCATACACTAATGGAAGGTATAATTACATTATTGTCTAATACATCTTTGTATGAATGGATAGTAGAAACAGGAGCATCTCACCATATCATATGTTATAGAGAAATTTATCTAATTTAGAAAACATTGAGCAACACAGGAATCAAAAAGTGCAGGTTCTAATAGGTAGCAAATGTTCAGTTACACACAAAGGAAGTGCTTCTATACTACAGGGATATGAACTAAAGGATGTGTTATATGTTCCAGATTTTAAGTTCAATATTGTGTATTGTAGGGTCTTTATAATGGGAAGGTGATGGGGATTGGTAAAGAGAATTGTGGACTTTATATACTCAAATGGAGAGACAAGCCTGTAGCAGCATTGGCTACCAAGGACACTGATGAGTGCAGTCTTTGGCTTATGAGATTAGGACATCCATCAATAATGGCAATGAAGCACATTTCTGCCTTGAAGAATAAAGTAGTGGATAGTTTGAAACATAACTGTGAAGTATGTCCTTTAGCTAAGCAAAGTAGATTGAAATTCCCTCTTAGTAGCAGCAAACTGAGTGTATTTTTCAGCTTATTGATCTTCATATCTGAGGTCCTCACAAGCTGCCTACGTATGATAGAAAACATTATTTTCTTACAATTGTGGATGACTTTAGTAGATATATTTGGGTGTGTTTGTTGCAGTCTAAGTGTGAAGTTGTAACAGTGTTGAAAGACTTTCTTATAATGGTAATGACTCAATTTGACATGAATGTGAAAGTATTGGGATCTGATAATGGAAGAGAGTTCTTTAATGCCAGCTGTAATGCACTATTAGCATCCTTAGGCATTGTGCATCAAAGAAGTTGCCCATACACACCTCAATAGAATGGGGTAGTGGAAGGAAAACACAGACATATACTTGAAGTGGCTAGGGCATTACAATTTCAGAGTTCTGTTCCTAGTAGATTTTGGGGAGATTGCATCAAGACATATGTTTATCTGATCAACAAGTGGCCTACATTCATACTACAAAGAAAATCTCCTTATGAGGTTTTGTATAATAAAACACCTGTTATGGATCACTTAAAGGTGTTTGGTTGTTTATGTTTCTCTAGCAACTTACCAAAAGGAGAAAAGTTTGCAAAGAGAGCAAGAAAAGCAGTCCTCATAGGTTACTCTGAAGTTCAAAAAGGGTACAGATTGTTTGACCTAGAAACTAAGATTGTCTTTGTAAGTAGGGATGTTAGTTTTAGAGAACATATCTTCCCTTTTAAAGAAAGTATGACCATTCTAGAAGATCACTTTCCTACACAAGCTTATATACCATCACATCCTGATCCCTCATTGCCTACATCTACAGACCCTCACATTCCTTCTACAAACAATATTTCAGTCAACCAATATACCTACTACAGAAGTCCTACAGATTGATCATACAGTCCAAAACATAAAAGCAGCAGAGATTGAGCCTGATGAGAAAGATACCTCAACTGACTTAGTTCCAAACACTGAGCCAGAGCTCAATGCTACTCTTGACAATAGCATATTTGAGCCTAGAAATGATCAAGAGCCTAGGAAGACTACTAGGACATCCAAACCTCTAGTTTGGTTAAAAGACTACCAAACTGCTAAGAAGTTCTCTGGCTAATGCTTATATCCATTGACTAATACCCTTACTTATGCTAATCTCATACCAGGTTATCAAGCATACTTGTAGGCTTTCTCAGCTGAAGTTGAACCTACTAATTTTCAGCAGGCTTTTACTGATAGCATATGGGTAACAACTATGCAACAGGAGATCCAAGCTCTTGAAGATAATCATACTTGGGAGATAGTGGACTTACCAGTAGGGAAGCAAGCTATTGTTCCAAATGGGTATACAAGATCAAGTACAAGGCCAATCGAGAGGTAGACATATACAAGGCAAGGCTGGTTGCTAAAGGTTATAATCAAAAAGAAGTACTGGACTACCATGACATATTCTCACCTATAGAAAAGATGGTCACAGTCAGGACTATTATGAGCATAGCAGCCAAGGGTTGGCCTTTATCTCAAATAGATGTTAGCAATGTTTTTCTACAGGGAGATCTCTATGAAGAAGTTTATATGCAGTTGCCTCAAGGATTTCATAAACAGGGGAGTTGAAAGTGTGTAGGCTTATGAAATCCCTCTATGGTCTTAAACAAGCATCTAGGCAACGGAACATAAAGCTCACTGATGCACTTGTTCAAAGTGGTTACAAACAAAGTCCTTTTAATCATTCCTTATTCACAAAGCAGCAAGGAGGAGAGATAGTCATTATACTGGTTTATGTGGATGATTTGATGATTAGTGGGAGCTCCTCCAACTTAGTCAATGATGCCAAGACAATTCTGCACAGTAAGTTCAAAGTTAAGGACTTAGGCAAGCTAAGATATTTTTTGGGAATTGAGGTATCAAGGTCAAAGAAAGGAATCTTGCTCAATAAAAGAAAGTATGCTCTAGAATTAATTTTAGAGGTAGGCTTAAGTGGTGTAAAGCCAGTTGCAACTCCTATAGAGTTAAATCAAAAATTGACAACTATGGAGTATGACACATGTGTTGGGAAGGCAGGAGATTTAGAGCTAAGAGATAATCCAGCTTATCAAAGACTGATAGGAAGGTTGTTATACCTAACTATCACCAGACCTGATATAAGTTTTGTAGTGCAAACTCTAAGCCAATTTATGCAAAGGCCCAAACAGTCACATATGAAGGCAACATTGAGAGTAGTCAGATATGTCAAAGGAGCACCAGGCATGGGGCTGTTGATGGAAGCAGGACCTATTGATCATATGATTGCTTACTGTGATTCAGACTGGGCACCATGCTTTAATACAAGAAAATCTGTGACAGGATATGTTGTTAAACTAGGTAACTCTTTGATATCATGGAAATCAAAGAAGCAACCTACAGTAAGCAGGAGTTCAGTAGAAGCTGAATACATAAGTATGGCTACTGCAACTACAAGGATCACATGGTTAACATGATTGTTGGAAGTCTTGGGAATTAAAGTGTCTAGACCTATTACATTGTTTTGTGACAACAAGGCTGCAATACAAATAGCTGCGAATCCAATATTTCACGGGCGTACAAAGCATATCGAGATCAATTACCACTTTTTCAGAGAGAAGATCAAGTCAGGCCTTATTACTCCATGTCATGTTTCTTCCTCCTTACAATTAGCAGATCTTCTAACAAAAGGACTCACTACTGCACAACATTCCTTCTTAGTGTCCAAGCTTGGCGTGTTAGACATCTTTCACCCTCCAGCTTGAGGGGGAATATTGGGAATTAAGTTAGTCATAAGAGAGGGCATTTTAGTCAATACACAGACACAACACGTGAGAGGCATGTGATAGTCAGTTAGTTTGTTAAATATTGTTTCGTCTTGTAATAGTGCTTAATGAAATGAAATCAAGTTCTTCTTCTTCCTTCTTCTTTTCTTAATTCTCTAAAATCTAGTGTTCAAACTTTACATGCAATTCAAATTCTATTAAGTAATGTTTTCTTTAACAAAATAATTTCTCAACGTATACATCAATATTTGACTTAAGCTTAGCCACTACAATGGTCATCTATATAATTATTTTCCATTTTTAATAGCCTTTTCCACAAGAATTTGCTTTGCGTTAAGCTTCCCTATGATAGGCAAAATTTTGTTGTACGACACGAATTTTTCTATTTTACTTGGTTAAAAATGCAAACTCGAATCATTGAATTTTAGAAATATACTGCTAGATTTCGCTATTTCTGCTATCACCTCCCAAAAAACCTCCAACTATTTAGAGCTAAGCCAGTAAATTCTACTCTTTATATATATGCGAAGTTATTCTCACACATGGACATATTCCATATTGAGTTATGTTGAATCGGTTGTGTCTAGTATAGACAGGGGCGGATGAACATTTTATGAGACGAGATCGGCAAAATCAATATGTTTGGCTTAAACTTTGTATTTGTTATTAAAATGTGACGACCCGACCTGTTGTCTCATGATTTATTGCTCCGTTTCCCCCATTTCTGCTTCTTTATGCCTCGTTATCTGTGTTTTATGTGGTCGAGTTAATTGTCTTGCGTTTGGTGTGGTTTTGGTAAGAAATGAGACACTTAGTCTCTTTTAAGAAGGCTTAAGTTGGAAAAGTTAACCGGATATTGACTTATGAGTTAGAGGGCTCGGATGTGAGTTCCGATGGTTCAGTTAGCTTTGGGAGGTGATTTGTGACTTAGGAGTGTGATCAAAAGTGGTTTTGGAGGTCCGATGTAGAATTAGGCTTGAATTGACGAAGTTAGTATTTTGGCGATTTCCGGTTGATAGGTGAGATTTTGATGGGGGGGTCAAATGGAATTTCGGGAGTTGTTGTAGCTTTTTTATGTTATTTGGGATATGTGTGCAAAATTTGAAGTCATTCCGGATTTATTTTATACGTTTCGGCACGCGCTTAGTAAAAGGAAAAGTTTGAAACTCATAAGTCCGAATTGAGGTGTGAATTGTAGTTTCGACGTTTCTTGGCATGATTTGAAACTCCGTGTAAGTCCGCATGATATTTTAGGACTTGTTGATATATTTGGTTGAGGTCCCGAGGGCCTCGGGTGGACTTTGGATGGTTATTGGAGTTTAACTTGGGCATTTCAAGAATGTTTCGATGTTGTTCTTCAAGAGTAAGTGGTATCAAATTATGCAAATGAGCTCCAAATTCAGTTTTTATTGAAGCATTAGATCCATATCGAAATTTCAGAGCCATAGCAAAAATAATCATTCAATTCGAACATCGTATGAGAGAGTTATGCCCATTTTCGTGTCGGGGAAAAATAATTTCACATCGCCAGCGTCCAGGGTAGCGCGGGGCGCAATCCATGGCGCCAGGATTTGTTTTGGCTACTGGAACCAGCGCCACCTGTGGCGTCCGAATCAGAAAAATGTTATAAAACGGGGGTTTTGGCCATTTTTGACAAAAATAGAGTTGGGGGAGCTCGGGTGAGGCGATTTTTCGAGAGATTTTCAAGAAAAACATCAGGGTAAGTGTTTTTAACTCAATTTTTGGTTAGATTACTCGAATACATCGTTGTTTTTAACATTTAATTGGTGATTTTAGTTGGTAAAATCTTGAAAACCCTCTTGGTTTAATTTGAAGATTTGAGGGCCGAGTTGATGTCGGATTTTGGTAAAATTGGTATGGTTGAACTCGTGGGGATATAAGGAACCAGTTGATGTAAAAAAATTTGAGTTTCGAGAAGTGGGCTCGGGGCTCGAGTTTTGCTAATTTCGAGATTTTTGGTGCTTTTCGATTGTTTTTGCTTGGGCCTTGTTCCCTTAGCATATTGTGACGTATTCATTCTGATTTTAAATAGATTCGATGCGCGTGGAGGCCAATTTGAGAGGCAAAGGCATCGCGGGCTAGAGTTTTAGCCGATTCGAGGTGAGTAATGAATGTAAATGATGTCCTGAGGGTTTGAAACCCCGGATTTGCACATCATAGTGCTATATTGAGGTGAGACACGCGCTTGATGATGAGCGCGGGGTCGTTTACTATTGGGGATTGTGACTTGGTCCGTCCCGAGTGATGTTTTACCACGTAATTGATCGAAGCTTATTTGTTATCATCAGGGTTTGACTGATTGTCATATTTGGGTTTTGTGCCAACTGTTTGAACCCTTCGGGGAGTTTTTATCACTATTTCCTCGCTGTTTTGAATTACTACTTGGACTCAGTCGTATCGTTTTTCACTGTTTTACAACTCAGCCACTTTTACTCGATTTTGAAACTAAAATGATATATTAAATGATGTTTTGGGATGAGAAATATTGTTTTAATATTGCCCGAGGGGCTTATATGATTTCCAGACTGAGTACGGTCAAGGGTCAGATATGAGGATACCATGGGATCGGTCTGCGCGCTGCAACAGTGTTATACTGATATTGATATGAGGTCGAGTGCCTAGATTTGATGCCACGAGATGGCTTGATATTGCGCTTGGGTCGTAAGGGGCCCCTCCCGGAGTCTGCACACCCCCAATAAGAGTCGTCGACGATAAATAAATGGATCTGGCTGCACGCCGCAGCGGGTACTATAGGGTACCAATCTATGTGTTGATTTTTTTTCTTTATATGTTTGTCATTTAACTGCTTATTTGTTGTAGCATTACCATATTTTGTTTCCATTGGTTTATTGCTTTCATGGTACTTGTTTAAACTGTCGTATTATAGATTACTCTGTGTTTTTCCGTGATTTCTTATTCTCAGTCATTATTTATGCTTATTACTCACTGGGTCGGAGTACTCACATTACTCCCTGCACCTTGCGTGTAGATCCAGGTGTTCCAGAGGCTGAGTGAGGATTTTCAGTCAATCAGTTCATATTCGGGAGCATCGAGGTAGCTGCACGATGTCCGCGACCCGGATCTCTCCCTTCTATCCTTTCGTTTTATCCGCATTTCCTAGACTGATTATGTATTAGGCTATTAAACTTGTACTAGAGGCTCGAGACTTGTGACACCGGATCTATATGGGCTATGTAGTAGGTTTATTATTTGAAATTCAGCATGTTTAACTCTTACTTCAGACTTCTAATATGATGATTTGGTAACTTAACTGTGTTAGCTGATAATGAACTATATGAGAAATGGGTTAAGGTTGTTAATTGGTCAAGCTTGCCTAGCAGTGTGTTGGGCTCCATCATAACCGGAGTTGGGGTCGTGACATAAAAAATTCATTTAATATATATAAATTATAATTTTAAACCCCAATAACTTCAAGCAGTGAGAATCTAGAATTATAAACATCGAATCATGAATTCTTCTATGAGTATAAATCAGTACTTCATGCAATATTAGGATTTGTTGGTATTGGTGATTGTAGGCTATAATCTCGTGTTTTAGTCACGTATTGCACTCTAATTTACTGCACTTTAATGGTGTTTGAGCTTTAATTTCTAGTGTTTTGTACTTATTGTGTGTTTTATACCTTGTAGGAGTGATTTCGAGTAATGTAGATGTTATAGAGCTTATTAGAGCTATTTTGAGCTTTGAAGTCTGAGTAAAAGCCCAAGGAATTAAGCCAGCATCACGTTCGGGGGCCAAGGACCAAGCCTGGATATCAAAAGGCGAGCAAAAAAGGTTCACTCTGAGAAACCTCCACAACCACGGTGCGTGGGGCGCTGCGGCTGCCTATTTTCTATTGCCTATCAAATTACAAGCTCTCTGAAGTTTCCCACTAGTGCCACGCATGGTGCGTCGCCCCATATGGTGCGCCTGTACAATTTTTACTGAGTGAAAATCCTATTTTCGTCTAGGAGAAGGTGGTTTTGTCCAGGCCCGACCCTAATTAGTATAAATACATGGAAAAATATTATTTTCTAGACTTTTGATACATTTTAGACCTAGGGAGGCTAAGAAGGAGTTGGGGAAGCAAAAGCACAATGAATTCATCATTCAATCCTCATTCAAGAGACGAGTTTGGATTATTTTATGTTTTTCTATACTTTAAACATATTTGTAATGAATTGCTCCATATCTATGGAGTAGTTCTCTTTAGAGTTTGATGGATTTGGTGTATTGATATTTGTTTGTCGATTATAACTCTATCTTTATGTATTGAATTGTTTTGGATGTTTTAACCGTGCATCTATATTCACTTGTTCATGCAATCGAGAGAGACAAAACTTGTGATATTTTTGCATTATTTTGTTGGTTGAATTCATTAATTCTTCTTCATAATCGAAAGAGGCTAGTTGAATTATTGATTAAACCTGGTTAGGAGGATAATCGGGAGAGGTTCTCTTAAAGACCAATCCACTACGAATTCGTGCATATCTTCACATAGCTTGAATTGGTTCATCTTGTGAGGTTGATACTTAATCGAGAGAGGAGTTTCTACTAAACGTCTGAACTAACAATTAAGTGAATTCGAGAGAAGCGCTTGAGCATTAGAAGTGAATCATCTAGAGTTAGATCCCAATAATTGTCTTGCACCTATCCTATAAAAACCCTTT